AAAGTTTTAAGTTAGACAGATACTTCAGTACTGTGTTTTGCCCTGCTGTTTCCTCCATATTCCATTTGCTGCACTCACATTATTATTATAGTATCTTGATGATGGCTTGAAAATATTGAGGCTTTACAAGGAACTGCCATCTAGATTATAATTTTATAGCTTGTTGGTTTGGGGTTTTTAAAATGAATCATGCTGCTTTAAAAAGCTTAAGTCAAAATTACTTCATTTTTGTTCTTTATTTTAATTAACTAGATATTCTGCTTTTAGGACTTTTTTTTTCTGCCAACTGTTTTTCACAAGGTCATGAAATGGATGTCTACACTTAAATTGAACTTTTCCAGTTCAACCCTGTATCATTGTGGAAAACATTTTCTTGGCTTGTTCCCAGCAAGTCTGATGACAGCTCAGAGTACAGAAGTTTCCATATCATCATTGAGGCCCAGTCCCAAATCCCATACTCAGATAGGCCAAATTCTTTGGTGGCAACTCTTGTAGACAGTCATTTGCCCAGGTGTCATGTCGTACGTTTGGCTGGGTAGTCAAGTGTGAATACAGACTAAGAGGCGCAGATTGTATCCGAATGCCAAATCTTCCATGTTGTGGGCAAGAGGGAGACTTGCCTTACTCATGTAAAGGGGAGAAGTGTTTTGGCAGTATCTAGGACATTTGCTGCCTTAACAGGACCCTTTATGTAGTGGTGAGTCATTTTTTTTACTTAGATCTCCTAGGTGAGTCCTAACCAGTAAGACTATGTATGTTTTTATAAGAGAAGGAGTGAGGGCTATCTCCCTTGTTTTAATTAGTATACGTAGGGAAATCTTCACCCTGTGGTGGTGACGCATCCTGAAAGAGGAAGCGGTAGGTTGCAGCTTTGCTCTCTAGATCACTTCAGACCTCAGAAGCTGGTAATGTTGGATTTTCATTGCCAGAAGAAAGTGCACTAAATAACTTTGTGTGAGCAGGCAAGGTTAGCGCTGCAGGGAATGTTTTCTGCTTGCTGTGTGGTTAAATCATCTTTGTGCGATGGGGGTATTTTTAACCTGTTGTGGTCTTCTAAGTCACATACTGCCTCTGCTTCTGCACATGATGTCATTGGAGATCGAACGATTGCCTCTTCCATGGGGGTGCTGACCGCGGCAGGTCCAGGCTCGCCACCACCAATCTGGGTGGTCCGGGCATTTGGGCAGCTCCTGGATTCCGCTAGGCTGTCCTAGTATGTGTGATGGGGACTGGAAGCACAGGAGGGGACTGGAAGCACGGGAGCAGCTGCCATCCTGCCAGCGCTGGAGGGACCCCGTGAGTGCAGGAGGGACAGCAGGACCCTGCTTTGCCCACCATGTGCCTGTAGACATCCTCATCATTGAGGTGCCATGGCAGAAGTGTCGGTCTCTCCACAGCCTCTCTAGCAGGTAGCAGCTCCAAGGAGCTGACCTCCTTCTCTCACGTGCCTGGATTCGCCCTGGTTCTGTCCTGAATGTGTTTCCACATCCCAGCCTCCTTCCCTGTACCCTTTCCCTACCTTTCTGAAGAGTATTACTGGGAAAGGATTGGCCACCAAACTTTGTTTAGGGCTTTGGAGGAGTTGTGAGGGAGTTGAGGAGGGCCATGGCCTCCAAGCCCAGGAGGAGTGAGAAGAAACAGGGGATATATGCTGGAAAACTCATTCTGGTGTGCTTGGGACGTGTGCCTCAGGGGGACCCAAACGGAGACCAGCGTGTGCGAAATGAAGAGCTGCTGTTTGGATGTATAAGGCCCCCCCGGAGGAGCAGCTGAGAGGACCTGCACGGGCTGTGGTGCGGTGGCTGGTGAGGAGCTTGCTGGCGGGGTCCTGGCTGCCTTGCACCCGTGGGGTGGGTTGTGGTGGTCAGGTTTGGTAGCACCCATGGGTGGCCCGTGGGTTTGACCACCTCAACTCTGCCTTGTGTCTTGCTAAATGCTGCCTCGTCCTCAGCACCAGTGTCCCTGTGCTGCCGAGTTGTCTCACAGTGCAGTTGTTGCTGCAGGTGGTTGTGAATAAAACTACAAGGAGAAATGTTGTTTTGTGGGCTGTTAATTATTTTCTGGTGTTGAAGGCAAAGGGCTCTCTGGCCTGTTACCTTCTTCCTTTCAAGTCAGTGTTATGCTAATGGCTAGATATAACCACTGAAGAACTGTCATTAGTGGTTTGTTGCTTATTTATTTCCTTTTTTTTTTTTGGTTACATTAAAGATCCCATTAATTGTGTCATCTTTCATTACTATATTAATAGAGCTGAGTTCAATTACTGTAACTTGATTTAAAGGAAAAAAAATGCTCCTCGTAACATCATATGGTACAGTTAAAGTGGCACCACTAAATCAATTTAATCTTCTTAATACAAAATACCTTTTCCTCAGACATTTTCTCTTGCTTTTCTAGTAAGTCAGTCTAATCTCAGCTTAGGTATAACTCAGGAAGCTTTAGTAAAAATTTCTGTCATTTTGTAAGAATTCAGTTTATTGTCTTCTTTTCAAGACTCGTCATCTTGCTAATTGTGTGCTGAAATATACTACCACTGTACAGTATTATAAGGGATAGATGTAAGAGGTATTGTGTGTAGAAGTGGTATGGCCTTTAATTTCTGATTTGAATTGCTTGATAGAAGGTAAACTTGGTGGTAAATAATGGAAAGAAATCTTTAATTGTTGTGAAGGAGCACTCTGAGTACCCAAATTCATTCAATTACAGTTTCTACTGTTGTAGAAATAGTGTATTTATTTTAGAATACAGTGAGAATTAAATGGCAATTGCTAATGATTCTGAGTAGGTGTTGGTACAATATCAGCACAAAATACTGAGCATCATGTGAAGGAAAATCCCCAATGTGTGTTTTTGTTTCTTTTCTCATTTAAAAAGTGTCCTAACTTCCAGTGGAATATAATAAAAATGTGCAACTCTCTGGTAATGTTTTGGGGAGATATTTTCATTGCTCTATTTTAGAGAGAAATTAGAACAATCTATAACAAAAAAAAAATCTGAATTTCTGTCTCTGTCCTCCCCCCAACCCTGCCACCCCGCTTCCTGGTTCCTGGGCAGGAAGCTACAGGTGCTGTTTTCACAAAACTTTGTCAAGACTACTTGAAATAAAAACACTTTTATTTTTCTTACCATCATTCAACACAAAGCGAGTTTGTTGGCTCGATCAGTTTCCGACTGGGCAAATATCCAGAGTGTTTTTTGAAATCATTCACGGCTGATACCGGCCCTGAAGCCATTCTTTCAGAGGCTCCCCAGAGAGCAGCCTGAGCTCTTGTTGGGATGCAGGCTGAACCACGGGTGCCTCTAGAGCCAAGTCCTTCAGGTTTGCATCTTCATGGTTTGGATGAAGCAGCCTGAGAAAACACCGGTCCCATACATGAGACTTACTGTGCCCTTGCCGTTAGGAAAATAAGTTTCTGTTGTGCTTTACTGGTACTTTATCACCAGGTGGAAAAGATATATGGCTCCTAAATCAACTTTACAACCCAAATGCCACTGAGATTTGGCCAGCTAGATCAGGTGAAAAGATTTCCTTCATGTCTGGGAGTATCTGTCAGATAACATCTGTAGTATGCCGTGTTAAAATATTTCTGCTGAGAGGAGTTTTAGGTTTTGTTATAGTCAGTATCCTAGTGATGCAAGTCTAAATGCTGTCACCTGTGATTTCCACATTTCTCATGATAAAGCATATAAAAATAAGCAGACCAGCTGCTCACCTACTGCCAAAAGCTTGCTTCTGTATATTTGTCAAACACGGCACGTATACCTTATGATTTAGGTTAAGGTGCCTGCATAATTTTTTGCCTGCAGCTCTTTGTGTTTCCTTCTAAAAGCTGTGTGCATTCAAAAAAATTTAAATTAATTCAAAGTTAATTAGTCAAGATTGAAATTAATTCAAGCGTGAAATATTTCTCTGGGGCCACAGATGTGAGGAAGTGGCCAAAGCCAAAGGAAGGGACAAATTAAATGGTTAGGTATGCAGCATTATTTGACCTACATCCACATAAACCTGTCTTGAGCTAAGCACACTTTCTGTAATTGCATGTGTTCTTCCAGTCTTTGCTGGCTTGGCCTTTTGAAAATATCTCTATTTCAGTTTGCATTTATATGAGGGGATGATAATATCCAATAATCAGTACTGAAGCGTCAGCCAGTTGACCAGTGCTGCAGTTCTCCAGTGATGTGGGTTGTGTTTGTATGTGATAGTATAAGGGGAGGTGTTGCCCCACATCCCCTCTTCCATCCAAGCCATCTGCCCTTGATTGCCCCACAGCCCGCTCCTCCCCTCTGACTCTCTGCAAATTATCTGAGGATGTGTGTTTTCTGAAGGTTTATTTTGAGGAATGATACTTTTAAAGGAATGAGATTGCATGCCTGAAAGTAGGTTAGTTTTGTTTAGAGTCTTATTTATGATTGCAAATGGCATGTGTGATTTTTGCAAACAATTTGTGTCTAAAGTGTCAAAAGCTTTTGACAGAACTTATTTCATTTCTTTGCAAAAATACAGTTTCAAGTGGATGGTCCAGTGGCTAAGAAACAACTGTGGATATCAGTATCTGGACTGTGGTATTCTTTTTTTCTTGTTTTTCTTGAACCTAGAGGCATGCACTGTTTGTGGTTTGTGCAGTGAGGCTGTCTTCATTTTTTTGTTGTGTCATGCAAGGAAGATCTTGTTTTACTTGACATGGCAAACTTCACCTGGTAATAATTAAACTTTGGCTCTGTTAAACAATTTGAGTTTTACTGAAAGGCACAGGAGCAATCAGGTCATAATCTGCAGAAATGATGTAAACCCACTTTTTTAATGCCTTAGCTATTCTTCTGACTCCGTTTAACTTCAAAGTTAGCTTTGTATGTAGGCTGTGAACCATTTGGCCCAGTACCAGCCATAAGAAGCACAAAACTCTGTTAGTACATTCACTTCGTACTTTTGCCAAGATCCATTAAAACACTGGGATAACTTTCTGTACGTACTACATAACCTCTTTCAGGCATTTCCCTGGATGTTATCCGAGGAGCATTACCAGATGTTATTACAAACAGTCAAAGAGGTATTTCACCACCTATAACTCAACATTGGGGGTCAGCATCCTAGAATCTGAGCATCTAGGATATGGGAATATAGAAGTTAAATGTGGGCTCTCCTAGATACTGTCCTGGTGAGTATTTTGTTACTATTGATTATGAGGCCTACGTTACTCAGTATAAGAGAGGGAGAGAGATGATAATTACTGAATGAGTTGAACATTCATTCAGTATATACATTTCTCAGAATTTGGTGAGAGAAGTGAAAAAGTGATTTTCCTGTTACCAACAGTGAAGTATCCTTATTTCTGTGGCCCGCTGGGAAGCAGAAAGCAGCCATATATGGGCTGAAATTCTCCGAAGAATGTGCAATAAATAGATAGTTCGGAAGAAGGCTCTGCAGGGTCTCACGAGCGCAGCAGTTTGGGAGGGAGAGGAGTCTATTTCCAGCTCAAGAAATAGTTAGCACCACAGGACTTGTTTATTTAGTGTGGAGAAAAGACTAAGAGGAGTAAGTTCTTAATAAATTCTCTCTTTATGAAACATTGTACCAGTAAAACTGTGGTCACAGATTAAAGGCATCAACTTTCTATTGGGAACTGGTGTTTGTTTTGGTGAGGTTTGGTTTGGGGGAAGGAGGGTGGCTTTTCTGTTTTGCATTTGGACCCTCTTGTACGTGCTGACCCAGGTGCACGGCGCACTTGGCAGCATGGCAGAAGCAGCCTGGTTTGGCTTGTGGAGGTAGGCAGGGGTGGGCACTATACAGCTGAGTCGTTTTGAGAGCTATTGAAACAGCGTCTGCCTTGTGCCAGGTTGGTAGGCATGGGGAGGAAGAACAAGGTGGCAGAAGCGCGAACGCCCAGTGCACCTTGCAGCGTGGGGCCCTTTGGCACGGAGCCGGCTCTGTCCGGGAGTTACTCCCAGGCTTAGAGGTCAACTCCAAAACTGCAGATTGCCCATTTTGCTCCCTTCCCAAGGCCATGGAAATCTGGGATTTTTGTGGGGTGAGATGTCCAACGCTTGTGCTCTGAAACTCAAAAGTGTTGCTGAACGTAGTGGCTGTACTCCAGATATGTTTTGCTGGCAACAGCTGGAAGGGAAGACAGCAGCCTGAATAGAGGAAGGGCAGTAACCAGGCAGCTTAGGACATTGACTTTTGGAAGGTGTGCGGCAATAGCCCAGTTGCGGGTTGCCCAGGGGCTAGACTTGGAAATGCCATAAAATCTGGAAGAAGACCAGATTTTTCCAGTACGTGTTTTGTCAGATCCTAGGGAAGTCTAAATGCAGACTGGACGCAAGTGCCCTGAACAGAGCTAATGTCCTTGAGAGTATTTTGGGCAAAGGGAGGGGAAATGAGGTCTCTCCTGCTTGCCTGTCTTGTGTACTGTGTGTGGTCATCGTGAAGGGATCATTAACCTTCTTTGGCAAGATCCCTCTGAGGACAATCCAGGTTTCCCTTCCTGTCACTTTCTAGAAACTGTACCCAGAAATGTAATAAATGATGAGGGGGAGCTTGCCACTTTCATAGGTCTTGAGAGGCTTAAACCAGCCCTGATGACTTCCTGTTGTAGTAGTTGTAATTGCTAAAAGAATTGTTTGTATTTGCCTCATTGCATCTGTTGTAATAGTTGTGGGTGGGTGGAGAATAAGAACATCCAACATGAAGTAAGAAAATTAGTGTGTTTTCAAAATTTTCCCTGTACAGTTTTTTTCTTTTTAAATTAAAGTTTTTAGACAAAAGTAGTCAAAGGTGTTTCTGTTGGAATGTCTGTGTTAATAACTTTTCAAATTTATTTTTCAAATCTAGATCATCGACAAGGAGATTAATCCTTTTGTGGACAAGTGGGAGGAAGAAGGACAGTTCCCAGCACATAAAGTATTTAAAACCCTGGGACAGGCTGGATTCCTTGGTGTGGATAAGCCACCAGGTAGGAGAGTGTATAACTCCTGGGTATTAATGTTGACAGTGATAGACTCATGACATTATCTCAGATTGCTTTTGCCCCAGATCAAAACATGGTTCAGAATTCAGTGTAAAGTTTACTTATATTTCTCAGTCACAGGTGTGCTGGTTACCAACTGTGCAAATACAGAAAATAATGTTGCTGAGTGCTGAAGTTGATATTTTCCTAAATATAAATGTTAAAACCATGTGTGACTGTTATTTTAAAGACAGTGACATGAATGTCACTTCAATTTTCAACATTCAATCTGTATAATGACTTTTCTTCTGGATTCAGACACATATGGAATAATCTCAATCTTCATTAAAGAAACTTTGAAGGCATTGAAAGTGTTGTAAGGTTTGGTTTATTATACTTCCTTAACCTGTAACCTCTACATCATTTTAATGTATTCTGTCTCGTCATTCAGAGGATGAGGTTTGTGTGGCTTTTAGGCCTTTATATCCTAGACTGTCTTTAAAATGCACTATTCCAGCCCACAGAAACATGTACAGAAGAAGCAGTTGATGATATACACAGCAAGAACAGAGCAAGTTTCATGTGTACACATATATATTGGTGAGGAAAAAAGTCAAGAAGTCCAGAGGACTAGGAGGTATTTCTGCTCTTCAGCTAAAATACCTATTTCCCTCTTTCTTTGTTTGTATGGGATGTAATTTATACTTGTTTTCTTTTCAGATGCTACTGTTATGTGTTCTTGTCAGAATTCTCTGGGTTTTTTTCCCCCATTTTCTTATTTGTGGTTAAAACATTTAAAACAAAAGCAGGTTTGCATAGGCAAACCTTAGCAATTGTGGTGAATTCAGAGCGGCCTGAAGTGACAATGTTTGAAAAGTTAACTGCAGATAATTGTCTATATGGAGCAGCTCACACAACCTTAGCTGTGCCGCACCACATCATTATGTTGCTAAAGGACAGGGTTTGAACTGTGGAACAAATTATGTCTTGTCACCACTTACTTTCAGAAGAAATTTTTCCTCTTGAAATGAACTTTCTTACTTTTGTACATTGCAGTGTGAAAGGTTTTTTCTCTAGCTGTTCAGCTGTTGGGGCTTGCAGAACTGTTTAGCTGTGATTGTCCAACAAATCCAATTAGGTCAGAGCTGGTATTTCTTTACAAAAATGCTGACAGTTTGAGACTATACTTAAGATCTATTTAAAGGACAAATGGGATTACTGGGGGAGGGAGAAAACCACCTCTACCTTCTGCTATAATTGTTTGACAGGCAGATTTGAAATGTGTCACAGTGGGGTCTCCTTCACACTGCTAGTATTCATGTTGGTTGTAATTATGGTGCATTGCATTGCTGCCAGATTACAGCCCTGTCTTGTTGTTATGTTCATCTCAGGACATGTGGAGGCCTCGGCTGGGGTAAGGAACCTCGGTGCTGAGCATGCTGTTCATAAAACATTGTGGAGGTGGGAACTTTGTGTAATGCTCACAAAATAGCTAGGACGAGAAATAACTGGAGTGAAATCTAGTGAATAAGGGACTTACGGAGGCAAAGATGGGCACAGAAGGTTGCGTGCACTGGCTACACTTGTCATACCCATGATTAATAATATTTTAGCTTTCACTTTGACACTTGTATCTAGCTGTTAATCTAATTTGTTGGGCCTCTGCAGCTGCATTTTATAAAAGCTGTAAAAAAATGGATAATGCTCTCAGCAACATGTGGTCCATCTCAGTCCATTTTCTGGATCAAGGTATTGTTGGTTACAGAAGGTGCACCAACTCCCTGGAACATGCTGCCTTTGCAGCATTCAGTTGTGCAACAGAATGTTACCAGATCCAGCTTTGCTCTGAAATGGTATAGTACCACCAGGTACATTCTGAAAGTCCTGAAACTTTCTCATGATAGTAAATGAAACAGTCAGGTGTGTAACAGTGCAGTCTCAACAGCAGGACTTTGGCAAAGCCTGAAATTCTTTATCTTCTATGCTTCTACGAAGTGCTTATGCTTGCTGTATGATTAGTGTGTACTGGTAGTAGTAATTAAAAATAAAACTAAGAGGTATACCTTTTATACTCTGCTCAGCCACTTCTATTATTTACCTGCTGTGTGCAGAGGAAAACGGGTCTTAAGAGATTTGAGGAAGCCAAGAGCAGCCGGGAGTTTTGGAGGGATGTTGGGGGAGGTCTGGAGAAGAGAGGTTAAATTGATTTGAGGAGAGCAATAGCAACACAGAACCATGTGAGTAACAACCTGCCCTACTTTCTCTTTCCAGCACAAACCAAAATTATAATTGTCATGTTGTATCCCTTCAAACCCAGATCATAACGCATTCTTTTTAAAAGAGGCTGAATTTTTCAAGATAAATCACTTCAGTAGCTGCAATTTTGAAATATAAGTTTTTTTGAATTTGTTTTCCAAGGTTATTCTGTCAAGTACAGTTTTTTTTCCCTGTAAAATTAATTTTGAAGCTTTCTGATTGGGCAGAAACAGGTCACAAACTTGTTTTGCTTAGATAGAAGGAAACATCTGTTGGAACTTGGATTTGTTGAAACTGGACTTTTTCCTGTGTAAACACCATTCCCTTTATGAACAATGAGCTGCTTAACGGGAGTCAGGTTTTTAAAAGAATGTGCCTTACATGTGTCCCTTATAATTGGAAACTTTCTCTGTGTGGAGAACTGATTTGGGGCACTATTTGTATTGCAAAGGCTCCATCAATTCCCACCATATGCAGTTGTGAGCTACAAACTTGTCAAGGTTTTTCCTGTATATTTTTTCGCAGTTGTTTATGATTGTAGCGAGTATTGGTTGTAGTACAGTAGTTCAGGATATTAGTTGGAGGTTCCTGTAAACACTGTGGGCAAGGCCCAGCCATGCGCCCATAATGGGAGAATCTTTAAGATGGACAGTGGATTTAACTGACTACACTGTCTGGTCAGTCCTCTGCCAGAGAAAGATTCTTCTCTTTGAGCCATTTCTCTGCTCGTGTATTCCTTACATGACTCAAAAATAGTGCATATGCTGGTTTTCCTGGGGAAAAAGTGTGTGTTGTTCTGTTATACTAGGAAATTCTTCCTACTAGTAAAATATACGCTGAAAAAGTGAACATCATTTATGCATAAAAAGTGTCTTTTTGCTCTATGCAGAATGTGTTTTACAGAATTGCTCAGTTCAGCCTGAAGTATTTAGTTTGAGGGGAAAAAAAGCCCCAACGTCTCTATATACTTATTATTCTTCATTTATGTTTACTGTGTGTTTCTCCTTAAATTATAAAGTTTCTGGGCTATTGAGGTACTGACAGTCCCAAAACTAAGGGCAGAAAATATTAGGGTAGGCAGCAAAAATATTTTAAACAGTCTTGGTAGTTGGCCATTGTCTGTTTTGCTAAGGGAAGTGGGCAAGACATGTTCTTTGGAGTGTTTTATGTGCAGATTAGATGAGATACTGGAGTAAAAGCTTAAAAGGTCTATGTGGTCATTTGTGATCTAATGGTTTATGAATCAAAGCTTTGGCTGTTGCTAAATTTTAGGACGTGTTGCCAAAGACACAGGCTTAAAATGTACTGTTATGTGCCTGCGTATGCCAATGCAGATGATTAAAAGTTGTTTTTATCAGCTGATGCAAAAGTACACTAATCCTCCCATAAAGGCTCAGGGAAAGCAAAGAGGAGGGGAGAGAAAGGTTTGTAAGAGGGCAGTGTCTGCTGTCCTGCATATTCACATAGCATCGCTGTGAGACATAAGCGATAATGATGCCTGCTCTAGGTATTTCATTAGTGTTTTCACTGTCAGTGCTGTAGGAATATTTAGCAGAATGTATTAGCATGTAGAAATAATTACGACAGATACGTCCAAATAGTAACCTTCACTTATTCCCATCAAACTCTTAGCAGTGCACTTGCAGAAATATGTTCTTAAATATAGCAAGAAAATCAGGAAACTATGTGGTAAGACTTGTACATGGATGGGAAAGTACAGTTTCACACTATCTCCTTCCCCTACTGCTGGGATATATGCTGGATACGGGCCTGGAGAAAGTAATAAGCAGTACGTTCTTGTCACTTGAGACAGATAAGCATCTGAAGAAACAAACCAAATGTTTCAAATGATTGATTGCACTGCAATTGGAAAATGATGCAATATCTTTCCTTAAGAAAGCCTGTTTATTGCGACCGTATCTGTGTCGAATGTGGGAATATAGATCTAGACTATCTTTTAAGGTTAATTTGGTTGTTTTCTTCACAAGTTTACATTTCTCTGGTAAGGTGAGACCTCATGAGAGTGGTAGTGGAGAGTCACTTGGAAAGAGTGTGTGTGAGGTTCTTTCTCTTTTTTTTTCCTTTTTCCCTTTCTGTAATACTAAGCCTTCTTAATATATGGAATGACCAAAAGAAAGACCTGGGAGGAGCAGTGAATTCTGTCACTAAAAAGGGACTTAGTAGTTCAGGTGAAACAGGGTTTTATGGCCTCTAAGAGTAACTGAAACAAACTTTTTCAGGTATATCTAGGGATAGAAGCTAAAAGGAATGTATTTGATAGAAGAGAATTCATTTGCCCAAAACCATTTCTGTATGGCAGGAGTGGACCAGCTACAATGCTTGAGCTTGGTTTAGTACATTTAAGCTTAGCTAGCTGAACTAATTGCTTGATCTCTTTCTCTCTTACAAAGGAGTGCAGTAGTAGTTAGTTGATAATAGTTGTGCTCTGAATGTTTGAGAGAGACGCCATTGTGCCACGTTTTCAGGTACCAATGAGCTGGTAAATCAGCACTCTGAAATGTTTACCAGCTATGAGATATACCTGGTTTGCCAACAAGAATAACCTCAATAAGCCTCTAAAAAACAATAGACCAAAATTAGTCACCGCTTTATTTGAATCAGATTGATGACAAAGTTAGTGATGGATGGCAGTGGTTTGGAGACCTTGATCAGATAAGCATAAGAAACTTCAGGTGCTTATCTGACCACCTCATTTTGGTGGATTGCATTGAAATCTCAGGAAAACAGGT